AGCTATGCTCCCTCTGGAACCTGTGGGTGAGTCCTTCTTCCACTCTTCCCAGCTAGCAGTGGTTTGTCAACCATTGCTGGCGATGCTCAGCTTGTTGATGCCTCCACCCCAGCCCTCACATGGCCTTCTCCCTGTGTGGCTTTGCATCATCTTCCCTCTATATGTGTCTGTTTCTGTCCAAATTCCCCCCTTTTATAAGGACACCAGTCATATTGGATTAGAGCCCGCTCTAATGACCAAATCTTAAGATGATCACCTCTGTAAAGGCCCCGTTTCCCCAAAAGTCCGCATTCTGGTGTCCTGGGGTTAGGACTTCAATGTGCCTTTCTTGAGGGACACCATTAAACTCATAACAGTGGATGACCCAAATTGTCTTCCCACAGGATCCAAGCTCTTCATGATCCTCTCTTCTTTAGGTTACCAGGGTTTCCCCACTGACTATCACTGTTAGATGTGGAAATGCTTAAGGCTCCTCACTGATTCCAGACACAGCCCTTCTTATTCCGTTGTTTAACAGCAGCACAATCCTTCTCAATAATTTGGGTCAGTCATCCTGGCCAGAAGAGCAAGTCATTCTTTGCCTTTTGGTTAACTAGCATAGGGGACCCCAAATGGGCCAGGGACAGTTGCAAATCCCAACAGAAGTATGTCTGGGATTTTTGGTGAAAGCATTCTTTCCTTGGGAACTAAGGTACCTTACTGAGAGATTCCAAAACTTTATGGATAAAGAAAAGATCCTAAGTCTCCTCAGAGAGAAAGCCATAGACATAGGACTAGGTATCAGAATGGAATGACATTTTCAATGGAACACTAAAAAACAGAAGACAAAACAATGCCTTAAAAATATTAAGCCTAAATGGGGCTCCTGGGTGGCTCAGTCAATTAAGTGTCTGATTCTTGATTTCAGCTCAGGTCATGACCTCATGGTTTGTGGGATCAAGCCCCTCATCAGACTCCATGCTGGCAATGCAGAGGTTCTTGGGGTTCTCACTCTCTTCCTGTCTCTCCTCTGCTCTCTTTCTCAAAATAAATAAACTTAAAAAAAAAAAAAAGTGAAACCTAGAAGTCTATACCCAGCTAAAGCAGACTTGCTTCTGGGATTCTCCCATTCAGTTTTCAGCTTCCCCAGGTCTGCCAAGGCAATTGTTCATCTACTTTACAGATTCTTAACTATATAGCTTTCATCTCTCCTCCTTTCCCCCTTGACCTTGTAGATTTTTGCTTTTATAAAAATTCTGTTATTTTAGTGTGGCTTGGGGAAGGAGCCATTTAAGTGGAATTTCTGTAGTTTTTATAATGAAAATTGCTGGGAAGCATTGCTCTGTGGCCTTGATATTTAGGTGCTTTCAGGTAGCCAGATCACCAGGTACAGGTAGAGATTCAGTACCTTCAATAGCCTGAAACTAGTATTGCAGGATGAAATATGATTTTTTTAATTAAAACTTTATTTTCAAAACAGCTTTAGGTTTGCAGCAAAATTGAGAGGGAGGTACAGA